CTAAGAGGTATGTTTTTCTGTCTTATGTACCTGTTTCAATGAAATTCCATATTCCTTATTCTTTTCTTTTACTTAGAAACTATAGACTAATTCTGTAGTCTATCATTTCGTAAGTCTAGTGTTGAAAAGAAGACTTTTGAGTTTGATGATATTTTATACAGAAATTTTCAAGTAAATCAAATAAAACTGACATGAGTTCAATTTATCTGACAAAGAGTTAAACCTTTCAATCGACAAGAATTTTATGGTATCAGAAGTAAATCTCAATTGTTTTATGATTTAGTTACAACATCAACATCTCGATTAAGACGTGGCGGGTGTGGGTGTGCGTGTGGGTGTGAGTGGGTTGTGGGTGTGGGTGTAGGTGTGGGTGTGAGTAGGTTGTGGGTGTGAGTGTGAGTGTGCCGCTGGGTGTGGGAGTCAGTGTGCCAAAGAAGAAAAGGCACCCACACCCACACACCCACACCCACACACACCCACACCCACACCCACCCACACCCACCCACACGCACACCCACACACCCTCACCCACACACCCACACCCACACCCTCACCAACACCCCCAGAGATTTCGTTTGTTTTTGACCAAGGGGGGGAAAAATTTTTTTTCTCAAAGAGAATCTGCTGGGAGAAAACGAAAATATTTTTCCAAAGAGAAAATCCGCTGGAGAAAAACGATAAATTTTTCCAGGGAGACTTTCTCCCAAAATTTTAGGAGGGGGAAATTCCCTCCCATCCCCCCCTTATCGTATGCTCTGCACACCCCCACCCTCACCCACACACCCACACCCACACTCACACCCACACCCACATCCACCCACACCCCACACCTATACCCACACCCTCACACCCACACCCTTACACCACACCCTTACACCACACCCTTACACCCACATCCACCCACACCCACACATCCACACCCTTGGTATTACAATCTTGTTTTTGTTTTCGGCAATCTTTTTTCTCGTTTTGGGTATTATTATCTACAGTACTTTTTGCAAAACTATGGGTAACATATTGTTCAACTGCTATTAGAATGTGTGAGATTTGCTGATTTCTTCATCGAGGCTGCTGATACAAATCATAATATCTACCATTCAAATAGTTATAGTTATTATTTAATGATAACATCGTGCATTTTCACTTTCATTTCAACAATAATTGGCGGTTTTTAGCTTGATCGAAACTGAATTACGGTTTGAAACTGACAATCACAAAGATTTTATTTGTACGTTTATCGTTCGAAAGGCTTGCTTTGAGTTATCTTTGTATTCCATATTTATTTAAAGCAATGTTTGACAAAATAAAATCATAACCTTATTTTTTATTGTAATCAATAATGGAAAGGAATGCAATGAAAAGATCGTTTTTTGCATTTGCTGTTTCAAAGAGGAAGAAACAGTGAATGTAAAACACGATCGTTTCTTATGGTCCACTCGTTATTTATTGCGAATAAATATTTTGTAATTATATGCGAAAATAATATGAAAGGTAATGAGACGCGATTGGCACGCTGATCACTAAATAATTGCAATCAATTTTATTTCTTCTTGATGAAAGAGATACGTTTTTTGAAAAGATTTTAATAAATATTGTCATATTGGATAAGTTGGAATAAAAATGACTAAATGTCTCGAGTTATTTTCAACAGAATTATTTTTTGAAATATTTGATTATCTATCAGTCTATGATTTATTTAAAATATTTCTTAGTCTTAATCATCGTTTGAATAGTATTATTCATTTATATCGAATTCATCTTGATTTTCAAGATATTTCTCGATCAAAATTTGATTTTATTTGGCATCATCTTCAACCAGAACAAGTTATATCAATTGTTTTTTTCGGAAAAGAACCTACCAGATCAAATGAAATTATTTATTGACCATTTTCTAAATTTTCAACAAGAGTTTATTTGTCTAGAGACAATTCAATTAATTGATATAACTTATTTCACATTTTATTTACTCATTAATGTATCATCACTTTTATTCATAAATGAAAATATTAATGTACTTATTCAGAATTTTATCAAAGAAACATTAGAAAGACAAAGAAATATTTTAACTAAATTGAGTTTGGACGATGATAATGTATTTGAATCAATTAATCTTCCATTTTATCAATTAACTTATTTAACAATTGATTATTGTTCAAGTTCAATATTAAGTCATATAGTTAAAAATTTGATTCCTTCAATTACTCATCTAGACATTTCCATTGATCAACTTGATTTGGATACAAAACGAACTTGTCCCGATTTGAGTTGTTTATCATCTAGTCTTACACATTTGACATTAAGAATTGGTAGTGGTAAGTTAATATCAAATCTATTAAGAAGAAAACAACTATCTACTGTTTAATTACAGATAATATTATATCGTTCGATATACTTGAAAGATGCCTAATCAAATTAGAAAAATTAATAAATTTAATAATTGAAGCAATAGGTACAATTGATGTTATTTGTGGTTATTGTTGGGAATAGTTTATTTCAAAAACAAATATCAATAAATTCGATTTGAAATTTTTTGTAGAAAGACCTAATCTCAACAACATATCTCGATTCGTTTTCTTCACCATTTTGGCTCGAATATAAACATTGGTATGTTGCATGTGATAAAACAAAATGAAAATATATTGTTGTTTAGACAGTGCCTCATTTCTGGTCAAAAACTATTGAATATTATCCATTATATTCCTTTCCTCACTCAACCGTACCATCATATATGAAAAAATATGTTTTCTATACAAGAAAAATGGATAGTATTACTTGTTTATTTAAGGATAGCATATATGACCCATGCCATTGTCACACTCAAGTGAATCTATTAAAACTTTCTAGTAGTGCATTGCCATGCATGACGAGATTACTGTCTATTGTTGATCTCTATCAAATACGAGAACTCAATATATCATCGATGAGTAATTTATCATTAGAGAAACAGTATGAGTTATTAGATTATACTCCACAATTACAACATTTGATCATGAAAGAATTGAATCCATCATTTATTTTACCAGAACATATTCGTTCTGTTACATTGACCAAAATTGATGAATCAATTTTTGCTAATACAATTTTTGAGATGCTTTCATCTGTAGAAAATCTTCAAATTGAAATGAAATCAAAAAATTAAATCTTTGACTTAATCGATCGATTAGAAAATCTTTAGTGTCTTGTCGTTTTTTCTTCTTCCGAGCTAGACTTTTATGATGTTTCAATTGAATGGTTTAAACAATATTCATTACGTCTCCGTCAATGCAATTTTACTTATCGATGTCAAACTGATTCGAACTATAAATCTGTTATTTTATCAATTGGTGATAAACGTTTCACAGATGGTAATTAACATTTTAAAATAAACAAATAAAACTTTGTTTTTTTCTAATGAATTTTTTATGAGTGCCTTTTACTGATTCTCGTAAAAGATCTGTCATTTTTGCATAATCACTCACACATACTTATCAGAACATCATAATGATTCTAGAAGTTGCAAAAATACTCCCCCTACCACACTAAGTGCTTGAAAACGGACTTGTTGAGCGGTTTTTTATGTCGTAGAAATTGGTAAAAGAAATGTTACTCGCTGAAACCCTCAGAAAAATCATAGAGTGGATTTACAAGAGTTTCTTCTTCAAGACAGGCCATCCATGCAATCTAATCGGCTTTTATGGATATCCATATGGCAACGAATCTATTCTTCAAAAGCCCATGAAATTACTCATCTTTACTCTACTTTCAATGCCTAATTTTCTACGAGCCGATGTTATATAGTGTATGTTATTTATTATAGAATACTACATCTTATTAATACTCGTAATATGAATTTCTGTTAGTTGTAGTCATTTGTGAACCATTTAATTGCAATATTATTTATATCGAAAGTATCTGAAATATTCAGTTTTGATACCTTGAATAAAGCAATGCAATAAACTGATCATATGTCAAATGCATTAGAACACGTTTCGGGTAAACGGAATGCACACAGTTAAAAATGTCCAAAATTACGAGTTTTAATGCGTTTATATTGCAAACGCGAAGAACTGTTTTTCCACAAATAGTCATGACGAGGTTGAAGCATAAGGAAAACGTCACCGTTAAAACGCGAAATTCCGGACATTTTTAACTGTTTGAAATGCGTTGAACGAAAGAAAAGGAGAAGTTGTTATAACGCGTAAATTTTATATTTCTGACTGCATGGGATATTTTCCCACACAGTTTAGCATCATTTTGTAGCTCTCGAAAATATCTATCTATGCTGAAAAAAATGGCGCTTTCATATATTGTTTCAGTGGAAGTCATCTGTGTATCATTATATCACTTTCAATCGGAACTATGCTATAAATATAGCCAAAAAGAGAAGTTCGTTGGATATATTCGGAAGTATCATCTAAAATGGTGGATTTTAGTCGAGAGTAGTGTAATATTGTAGAAAAAAACGTATAATCTAATATTCGAATGATATCAATGGTGATTATTATTTAGGGCCGTTTCGTGGAGAAATCGTCCCCCCTCCTTTAAAGCTGCTGTAATTATCATTGAATTTATACGCAAATTGTTACCCATAAAGAAATCGAAATAATAACTGATAACAAATTGTTGTGACTAAATTCGGATAAAAAAATAAGCACATACAAAGTATTCCTGTTGATAAATGACAAGGAGGAAACAGCTGATTCTATGAGTAAGTAAGCTCTTCGCCGAAGAGCACTTCATCAAAAGTATTTTTTTGGTCACGGAGGGCGCTACAAAGATGAGAATGAGGGCAAAATGAGTTGATCTCTTCAAGCTTAACAAGCCTGTATAAGAATTAAAGGGCCTGCAACAGTTTAAAGCGGCGAAACAGTCTTCGATGAAACGCTCTTCGGCGAACATTCATTCTATGATTCCAAAATTCTAATGACTCGAAGTGATTTCAAGTGGTTTCAAATGATTCCATGTGATGCCAGTTATTTCAAGTGATTCAAACGCTATGGAATCAGCTGTTTTCCTTGGATATTCCGCATTTCATAGACATTCAATTGTACCATATAAAAATCTGGAAAGAGTTTTGCTGTCTTTTCTCATAATAATACCAGATTTTTCTCTGATTACATAGCTGCTCAAGAATGTTCTGCATGAAAATCGGTTGGAACGTTTAATCTGTTCGTTGTTGTTGTCAATGTTTTGTTTTAATATAAGCAGTTTCTTATTCTAGATGAGTTCGTGTACTTAAGCGCAGCCAAGATAGAAAGAGCGAACTGCGGAAGTCCCTGAAATTGGAATCCACTATGTTCCCTATTGAGCTCGGTGCATATTCCAAAACATTTGCTTTACATACAGTTTATCGGATTGGTCCCAGACTCGGACAAGCTAAGTCCGAACATTAAAATTTGGTGTTGATTGAGTTCGAATCTGCATTGGCGTATTCAAGAATATTTTAGGAGAGGATTGGTGGTTTTGTAGGAAGGACTACCACAAAAGAATGAGTTATTTCGACTTTCGAAAAATGTACAACCAATATCTCCCTTCAGATATTTAAATCTTTTCACAGATGGTAGATTCCTCAATTTTTCTTGTAAATACGCTCTTGGGCATCTGAAAATTTTCTACTTACCTGTGCCAGATCAACATTCGCGTCCGATGTCATGGACGCTAATCTGAAAAAGAACTAGTCAACTTGATTCTTATAAGATCATTGTTAAGATTACTCGAAAAATGTTGAGAATGTATTACGTAGTGAGTATCAGATGAAAATTTAAAAACTTCATTGAATATCAAGAGCACGATTCGGGACTGGGTCCAGGTCTAAAAAGTACCGGAAGAGTATCAGTGAAGTACTACTAGCATAGTAATGGGACTCTGGCGAAATAGTAATGGGATACCAGTAGTCCGTACTCCATTGGTACTCCCGAGTACTAGAGTCGCTCTTTTTTTCTTGTTAATACCATTATGGATTAAACATAGGTATACACCGTTTCTGTATTCTGACTAATCATATTTCTTTGGTTTTCATTTTAAAAATGGCTGTTTCTCATCGATTCTACTGACTGTCTATATTTACTATGATTATTGTATCATTGCACAATTAATAAAAGCTATAGGCAACACAGAATATAGTAAACGATAGAAGTCGGATTTGAACAAAACATTAAGGTACAACAGCTACAATTTTGATCGAGCTGTAACTATTTATTCTGAGAGAAAATACATTAAAAAATCGAAAATTACTGCACACAACACAAAATCCATTAATTTCTGTATAAAAATTCGCTCGAAAGAAATAAAATTGCATGTATGTAAAAAACAGAAAAAGACCAAAGGCAAATATTTAGAAAAAACCGTGCGATGTGATTGTGCAGAAATAGCCTGTTTCATACATTTGACATATACTTTTATTTACCCGCAACATTTTACAATTATTGGCGCTAGACAAGAGAAAATAATAAAATTACTCTACAAAGATATTCAGAAACTTTTCCTTTTATTAGAACAAGACACTTGTTATAAAAGATGTAGTTTGTTAAAAAGAAAGCAGTTTCAACATTATTAAAGGATTTACTAACCAAACACAAGCATATTGAAATAAATTGTAATCAACAATAAAACATTAACTTAAATAATTGGAAAAGAAGAACGATCGATCTATATGGAAAGAGATATAGACAAAAAGAAGATTACAGCAGTGGCGTCGTCAGAAATTCTCCAGGGGGAAGGGTTGCCCACCAACAGAAAAAAAATCCTTGGCATTGTGAATAGTTTTCTAGTCCTGTATCTCCCTCCATGCATTGCTTCTCTAAGGAAAGTGCCCGGGCACCTCGGGCATTCCCCCTGGCTACACTCCTGGATTACAGTCAACTGTCTGAAGCGATTTTCTGTTTCTTTGTTATCTATTGATTGTCGTTTAATCAATCTAGCAATTCATCGCACTTGATGCACATACTGTGCCTTGATAACACCATAGTACACTTAACGTTCATGTTAGGTTTTGTGAATCTTGCTGCATGAGCACCATATTAAGTCTACAGACTGCTCTGATATGCTACTCATTTGTTATATTTCTTTTATGAAAATGCTTTGAATCCTTTTACAAGCATTTCAGACTACCAAACTTAATAATATAAGATCGAAATTACTTTGCTTATTTCATTTTATTCCAATCAACATTAACTATTGAAATATTTTCAAATCATAACGATTATTTCTTTGAATTAAAACTTATCATCAAAATAACTCTTTTTCTATATTTCTATTCTATTTCAAATGAAGTTGAAGATTGAAATTATCTTTGAAATTAGTTTAGAAAATGATAGTAACGTTTATATTGTCAGTATGAAAATTAAAAAAAAAGAACAAAAAAATTATGACTATAAATGCACATTTCGAGATCAGTCCAGCGATTGAAAAATCTTTTCATCGGATGAAATAAATCAATATGTAATATGGAACGAGTCGAGTTTTCCCATGACATGATTCTTTTTCTGTTCATATCATGAGTCATGGCATTGGTCTTTGTGTATCTGAATTCTATTAATTGCTTTTATTGGACAACGTAGCAATAAATAAAACTGACTATGCATATTGATTGTCAGCAAGAGTTAAAAGATTAATCAATACATAAGATAAAAGAGAACCGAAAACAGGATATATTTATTTCATACAAAATAAACATGTACGATTATTTAGGAGAAATATCATGAAAATATTTAAGTTCAGTCGAACTCATATTTAATATTTTGTTCAAATTCGATGAATATCTGATTTTTAAGTTATTTCAGATGAAAAGCCTTTCATACAAAAATAAAATAGATAAAAAAACACCCTAACAATACAAAAAATCTTCAGCAAGAATATCTTTGTTTTAATTAAGAATATTGATAAAGATAAACGAATTTAAACGTAAAATTGATATTTATTTTCTATTGCAGATCAATATACTCCGCAATATTGAATTACATAGAATGAAAAACATATAGGCAAACAATTACTGTTTTTATATTTATATAGTACACTCTTTTCCCAATGCTCGCTAACCCATACATTTTCTTTTTTTTTTATGCCAAAAATTGAAACATATATAACTATGCGGTCATCAACACGACAGAAAAAACAAAAGAATGCTGACTTTTTCGTTTTATTTGAAACGAATGGTCGTTTATCATTTCATTATATAGGTCTCAAACAGACTAGACGAATTGAAAGTGAATTAAGGAATGTAATTGATGATGGTGCCATGTGGAAACACCAATCACATTTCTTAATTCATTTTTAATTCGTCTAGTCTGTTTGACTCCATAGGCTCGCTCCTCCAATCACACTGACTTAACTCAAAGTGAATAAGGAAACATAATTGGTGTTTCTACGTAACAACGTCAATTACATTGGTCACTTCACTTTGAATGGAATAGGTATGATTGGGGTCATCGGCCGAATGGGAATTTTTTTTCGTCGAATTTATATGACTCGCATGAAAATGAGATGAATATGCTTATTCTTTCTCTAACATATGTTGACGAACAAGTATAATGATAGAAATATTCTTCGTTTTCCTAATCTCAAATCACTTATTCTTACTCAATGTATATCAATTGAACCAATAATTCAAAGCACATCTTATCTTATTGAATATCAATTAGATGAACTTACATTAACATTTGATCATCAAGTGTTCATACGGGATTTTTATGTAGACGAACATTTGTCAATTGAATCTGATACAGGTAATAAATCGTTTATTTGACAGATTCTAAAAAATAAAACGACATTCATCTATCTTGAATAAGCCATCCTTGATCGTGTACATTTACATTTCATATAAAACCATTCACTGAAAAACTCATCCTTAAAAAGTCGATTTCGAAATCATCTAGTTTAAATTTTAGCTTCCAAAGAGAAAATACTACATTCACCTCTTCTACTTTCATACACAGTAAATGTTTGAGAACAAATCAACGACACACATTTAATGCTTATTAGAATCACTTAGGAACAATTGTGCAAAGAATCTATTTATATGGAAGGTAAATCGTGACAACCTTAGGGCTTCAGTTAACGAGAAAAAATCTTCGAACTTATAATTAGCAGCTTATATATTCTTATCTTCAGAATAAATATTTGTATTTAAGAATATGTTCAAATCTATTGGAATAATCGGATAACTAAGCAACTTTCCAAAGACGTTCTTTATGCTACAAATTAAAAATTGATTTCATTAGCTTGACAGAAAAAAATCTTCCGAGATGATAAGGCGCTTCTAAGTTGAATTGTCTCATTAAATAAGATCTATTGAGATAAGAAAAAAGAAATTAAACTGATTCGTATTCATAATACCTTATTGCTAAGTTATGTCTCAAGATGGGTGAGACTGGATCAGAACCGAGACAACGCGAAAAAAAGTTGAACAAATCAAAACTATAGATTGTAGTTATTTGATCTGTGCTTTTGGCCGAATGATAATATAAATCATACTGATTAAAACAAAAGTTGGAAGAATGGATCGAAAAAAAGTAACATTCGCGGAGTGAATAGATGAAAGAAAGAATATTTAAGAATTTTCTAGAGTTCGTACGAATAGATTCTGAAAAAAACCGATTTCTTGAGACTGGGACTGAGATCGGAGCCAGTAGGTGAAAACTAAAATCGTCAGGATCGAATCTGAACATGGACCAGACCAGATTTATCATGACTATGACTGAGACTGTTGGAAAAGAAGTAACTGAGATTGCAACTAAAAGATTTAGACTCGTACATGTTTAGTTATGACCATGCTACTGAATTTTCAGTGAGTAACAGAATCTATTAACAAATATTAAATGTCGGAATTTGAGTTTGAAAATTTACTCTTAAATCGATTTAATGTTCTTACAATGCATCAAAATTTTCAAACAAACCAACGATTTCTTCCGTTGATAAGAAGTTCGTCAGAAATTTGCACTTTTTCAAATGTCTTATAAAGTATTGATTTTAAGGACTTTATGTCTAACATAGGAGTAACTCGTTTGGGCTGAAATAGCTGACACATTAAGAGTACCATGAGAACTATCTTCAAGTGTTCAAGCCGAACTGCGATATCCATTGATCATCTCTGCCATTGAGCAACAATCTAACGAAATAGTCGGATAGTTCGAAAACAATGTGGGATGAACATGAGAATCAATCTAGATCTTTTGTTTTAGTGCGCTCTATCTGATGAAATAAGTCTCAGGAGGGAGGTACCCCAAGTGATAAACCGCTTTATAGCCCATATTTTAGGCACACAGGAAGAGATCCTAGACTAGAATTATCCCAAAGGTGTTTGTGTCCATAGGTTCTTCTTTCGGAGTTAGGACTATTTTAGTGAATTTTCGGTCTATGGCAATATATCTACAATAATATCAAATGAGGAAATCTCCACTTGGAATTTTACCCATATGTAGACCTCATGAGTCTTACTATACGCTAAAAGTTTCAGAGACAATCAATGTTCCTTTCTCGAGATAATGAAGTTACAAGAAATACTCATTTCTTCATACAGTGCTCAGAAAAATCCAGGTTTCTTCTATATTCATTATCTCGAGAAACGAACATTGATTTTCTCTAAAACTTTTAGTGTATAGTAAGACTCATGAGATCTACATATGGGTAAAATTTCAAGTCGAGATTTCCTCTTTTGATATCTTTGTAGATATATTGCCATAGACCGAAAATCCACGAAAATGGTCATAACTCCGAAAGAAGAGCCTATGGGTCCAAACATTTTTGGAATGATTCTAGTCTAGGATCTCTCTCTCTATGTGCCTAAATTAGGGGCGGTAAAGCGGTTTATCACTTCGGATACCTTCCTCGTCAGCTTCAAATTGGTTTATGATCTGGGGAGATTTGCTCACATAATACGAAAATTAGAATGAAAATAAAACTACACACATTTAAGAGTTCATTGTTTGCTAGCTATAAAAAATACTCCTAGATATGAAGAACTAGTAGGGAATTATAAATATTTTGTTTTTCATAATCAATTCTGTCTTATAGTTATTTTGAACGTGTTTCAATTATTTATTCATGTAAATGCAAATGAAACAATATATTTCTTTAGTTGATTTAATAGAAATAGATTAAGATTTATTTGATTAATTATCCTATATATATATTCCTAGTATTCGATAGTTTTATCAATCAAAAAACAAACATTTTGTAAATGTAAGTTTTGATTTGTTATATATGAAATTAAAAAGAAGTAATTATTATTTAAAAATAAATTTCCTTCTAAACATTTTTTATAACGAAGTATAATTGAGAAAGTGAAAAGTCTCAGTTAAACTGGAATATTTATTGTTTAATAATAAAAAATTTCACTTTTATTTTTATTTGACAAACTATAGAAAAAGAAATGATTATAATCAAAGAACTTCTGTGTCAACTATTCTCAGGACGATGTCGATTAAAATCTCTTCGACTTGATATTAGCAATGAATTTACAAGTGGTGATATTCATAAATGTTTAGTAGGAAACTCTTCTTTTTCTTCGAATTTTATTGTGAATCAATGTGAATCTTGTTGTATGACTCTGCGTCGTTTATTTATTCGACTTAAATATACATTTTTTCTTGAAAATCTTATTGAACATGTACCCAATCTCGAAGAAATGTCAGTTCAGTTTGAATATTCATTGAACTTTGATTCATTATGGGAATTAGATATTGAAACTTCGAGTCAATCAAATGAAAATTGGTTTAATAAAGTAAGAAGAATAATTTATTATGAGTTTTTCAAAATAATTTTTTTTTATTTTCATTAATAAAAACAATCGAATTGTTATTCTTTTAAGATACCAAAACTACGATATTTTAGTTTAAAAACTTTCATTTGTGAAGATACGGAGTTTGTTTATCTAAAACGGCTTCTCAATAATTTAAATTATGTTGAAAAACTTAAAGTTCATCTTAAAAGTGATAAATTAATCGAAACAAGATGTCGAAATATATGGAAATCATTGATTGATGCAAATTTCATTCGTCAATATTGTCTACCCGATAAAATAATTAATTTAATTAATTTTGATTTTTATATTTATTCTCAATGTCAGTTATCATCGAATGATATGAAAAGAATAATAAATTCATTTAAAAGTCATTCTTTTTTTGTTGATCATAAATGGACCAATGTTAAATGTTTATTTGATCCAATAATTGAATGTCAACATCTTTTCTCTTGTTTCACAAATACACTTCAATTTTCTGATAGTCTCAAGTAAGATTTTTATCGTTATTAAAACTGACAACTTTTTATATCAATTATATTCTTTTATTTTTTTTAGTAATTATTCACATATTTTCAATTGGCCACCTATCGGTTTTATTTGGTTTGACTTATATCCATCACTTCATTTATTTCTTGAACGATTCAATGAATTATCTCCTAATATTTCTTGTATTGAAGTACACCAAAGTAAATAACATGTCATTTTAATGATTGTCTTCATAGAAAGGAAGTAAATAGATGACAGAGTTCAACATATTTACATAATCAATCTAATGGACTAAATAGAGAAAATATACTCAAATAAAATTAAAAAAAATTCCTTGTTTTTTTTATAGCGCGTATGATGGGTTTTGACGAGTCAGATCTCCTGATGTCATTGAAAATTTTATGCAAAATGAAACTATACAGGAGGGTTGATATGCCTTTTCGAAATATTACAAAAATTCAATTTGGAACACATTTTGATCGAATGAACGGTTAGTACTCATTTTCTTTGTTTTTCGTATAAGATTCTAATCAGACAAGCAACATTTATTTTTCATTTATTAACAAAAAGTGTATCTGCACCTTTTTTGTAGTTTGAAATTTTCATATAAAACTACTTTTCTTACAATAATTGTCATTAAATAAACTTTTTAGTTTTTGTATTACAGATTTGATAATTCATAGTTATAATGAGGATTTTAACGTGGATTTTGCAATGATTAATACTGAAAAGAGTCTGTGTAGTGTAGTCAAAGAAAGATTTGTAGGAAAAGTAGTTGAGTTCTATCGAATTTAACTATAAATATTAAAGCTCTGTATTCGAACTTTGTTTACTGTAGAAATACATTCTACATCGAATAAAGATCATTGTCTACTGGGATACACATCCCTATATGTGTTCCATCATTACTCCGCAGACCATGATTTGTATCTTATTCTGCTCTGTTTATACGTATTTTCTTTTGTAAAGGCAGTTTTGAAATCTATATCCATCATTTAAGATCGTACTTGGTCGTTGAGTACAAATAGATGATAAAAGAAATGATTTATATGAAAAATTCTGATAAGAAATTTAGCATCAATAGAAGACAGCAGTAAACAATGTTGATTTTTGAGACATGGAAAGCAACAATTAGTCGAATGACGATTGAGCGACGTCAATTGACCGTGGCAACAATTGGACTCTACAATAATAAATCAGTGTAGAATTAATTGGTCGAGTGTTTAAAATAAATGTGATATTTCTTCTACTTCATACAAGCTTACTTTACATACATGTCATTTAATCACACACAATACAGTGTCAGGATGAGTACCCAGGTCGAACGATACGGTCCATAAACGACCGTTTACGGTTACCTTACGACGCATGAACGGACCGTATACGGCCGTAATATCAGGCACAGAAATACGGTCTTATCATAATGAGATTACGCCGCGTATACGACCGTATACTGTAAAAATACCATACAATGGGCTATTTAATTTCAGTCTGAATTTATCAAATAAAAATAATACTTGATTTCAAACTGAAACGTGGGTCGGGGGGGGGGGGGGGGGGGTGACTGAGGGTGTAGGTGTGGGTCTGGGACCCACACACACACCCACACCCATGGTGTGGGCGTTGGCGCGTGAGTGAGGGTGAGGCTGTGCTTGTGGTTTTGTGTACTATAGGCTTTAGTCCCCTGAAAAGGGAGTAAGGGGGGACTAAGCTTTTTGTGGGGGGGACTTTGCAGGACTAGGGGGGACTAAGGGTTTTTAGTGAGACTACGTAGTATCAAGCCAGAAAAGTTTGATTCGGAAGAAATTGGTGTGGTTTTTTTGATTTTAGAATTCAGTTTGAAATAAAAAAGCCCATAGACTCAAAAATACGGCCTCGTATATGGTACCCATGATTACGAGAAAATACGGTCCGTTTACGGTGTCGTATGAAGCAAATTTACGGTGAAAATACGGATAGCCGTATCCATAGCCCTGGGTATGATAAGTAAAAAGTGAAGATGAATATCATGGAATAAATAAATAAATAGATCGTCTTGCCGGTAAACAACAGTTGAATGTCGATAATGACTTTATGGTTTTATCGAAATGTTAAACATGAAAATAATATTCTTTGTGAAATAATGAACACTGCAGAAGATGAAAACTTTAACATAAGAAAAATAAAGCTTGTTAGCGCAGCTCCTGCGGAGCTGAAATGTGGAACTCACGTATACCTTTAGCTTTGTTACCTGACGCATCATCTGTATACTGAAAGACTTCTCTTCAACTATAGTTGTTTTCCTTGAGAATCGATGAAAAGAGCGGGAATTTATTATTTATTTGTATATTAAAAATATATATTAAAAAAAGAAAATATTGTTTTTTCATTTAAGCGCGCTCGATTTCATTTATAATTATTGCTATATACTCGATAATAATCTTTTTTTTTGTTTTCTAATTTGAAGTTATTTTTCTCCACCATCGAGTATTTG